CGCTGCCTTCGCTGCCCGGCTGTACAGGTTCAGTTCTGGGTGTTTTTTTTTGGTGGCTGGTGCCAAAATGAGGGGTAGCTTTAAACGGGTTTATGGGGGAGATATAGGGTCATATAGGCCTATATAGGGTTTAGGGATTACGGTTCAAGGGTTTCCTGAAACTATGGGTACCCTCTTGGGGGTCACATATTTGCACTTTAGTATTCTGGGGTCTATATTGGGGTTCCCTCATTTTGGGAAACCATTACTTGTCCCATACATGAGGATTATGTTATAGGGTTAGGGTTATTACCCCACTAATGGAAAAACAAATGGATAAGAAAATGGAACATGAAATGGAGCATGGGAACAATATGAGCCATAGTCTAAAGCCCTCAAAGGAGGATTATGTAGGGGATTATAAAAGGGGTTATATAGGGGGGTTTTAAGTAGGACATCTCGGGGCTTGCATTTTCCCTAGAAGATTGAGCTAATGAGGTTATCACATTCAACCTCTAGCCATCCAATCATGCCACCTGAGCATACACGCAAGCTTCCACTTCAGATGCATGTTTACGTGCCATTGTGTTCGTTGATTGTGTCCAGGAAGCTGCTGGCCTTCGTCGCAAAAGGCCGTTGAAGTGTTTTCTCTCAAGCAAATGCTCAGGGAGGGTTAAGTAGACAACAGTAGTCGAGCGCTTTTGTTGAGTTGGTCTGTTGGTCTGCAGCTTTAAGCGGCTTGCAGAGGCTAAGGCCTCCTAGCCACGCTGACAGACGCATGAAACACGGGCTCTTGAAGTGTACAGTGCACAGCAGCTTGCACCAAAGCTTCAGTGTTTGGCACACAGTGCCCCCAACAGCCCCAGCACCCCTGAAGCATCGTTCACAGTACTTCTCGCGAAAAGCGTGGAGCGGGGCTCCCAGTCCCTGACCATGGCGCTCGCGCTGCCAAGCGCCGTGCGTCCCACAGCGCACTTGCAGCCTGGGCGACCTGGCAGAATCAGAGAAACCCGCCGTGAATCTGGATGGCAGGTCTTCCTAGCTATCGGCGGTTCAGACGGCAAATGATTGCTTGTTTGAAGATTGGGCTGTGAACGTCGCAGCCAATCCTACTTGTAGCTTGACACATGTTCTTCCAGTTCTCACTCTCTGGCCAATGATCCGCACATTGCATACTGGAGCTCATGTAGTTGCCTGGATGTTCCCCACAATCTGCAAAAAAGACGTGTCCTTCCCTCAGTCATGCTGTCAAGCAAACACTCAGCCCAACAATCATGTTATATGATTTTATAGTCTTACGAATTAGAAGACGCACTGATGCATTAGACGTGCCCTTGCCAACTACTTCCAGCTGCACACAAGATGTCAGGGCAGAAATTGTAGGAAGAATCCAGAACGCATGCAGTGACCATCCACGATGCTTATAGATTTGCATCTTGTTTAGGCAGGCTGTGCCGGGCTCGCCACATCGAAAGATGCAGGTGTCGCCAGGCTGCAGTCAATTGTCACTTGCTCTGAATCAATCTCGAGTGCGAAAAGATGCAAGGTCACGGACGCTGCCCATGCTTCAAGTGGCTGGGGCGCAGGCATCCCGCGCAATAGGAACCAGTTTGCAGATGCTATGGCAAAAGGCCGAGCTTCTGCCACGGGCTTGGATGCATGACGCATGCAGCTGCATTTGATGCAGGGGAAGTGCGTGAGAGGGTTCAGGTACAATTCTCATGAAGCCAATTATAGGCTGCTTCGTGATTTTGATGTCGTTCATCACAACTCCTACTAAGTAACATCCACTAGCTCCTTTAACACCAAGATTCCCATATCCCAACCCCCACCCCGTTACAACGGGCGGGGGAAAGCGGGGGCGGGGGGGGGGGGGGGGGTGCAGAGAATTTCACGCGGATTCTAAGGGCTCCGGGGATTGACTTTGAGGGGATGGGGTCTAGATTCCGCTGGAACTCCCATACGAAGCGCGTTGAAGGGGCTGTTGAAACATTAGCCTGGAATGTTTGTGCTAAGGCCCTCAAGCTTAAAAGGCGTAACAAGATGCGTGAAGTGCATGTGAAAAGCACCATAGGACACCAGTGCCATAGGCAGACGGAAATTTTACCCGGCTCAACGAAAAAACGGTGGGATTCGAAAAGTCTCATTCTCGAGCCAGGCCTTGAAGTCGCTGACAGGCACTTCGACTTCGCAAGCGTCCAACCACCAGCTGGTACGTACTGGCACTCAGAGGTTGTGAAGGGGGCACACTGGAGAATCCTGAGGGAGGCAAGGATTGACTATGAGTTCGGATTCGGGTGGGATTTCTCAAGATAATGGATCCTGGATCGGCCGAGAATGTTTCTTGTGTGAAGCAGCGGTTCCAACCATTGATTCAAGACAGACTTCTGGAATGCATGCTGGATGCACATGCCGAACCTTTCAAAGGAAGCTTCACCGTTTAACATCCAGCAGTTTGATTCAAGATCCAGTTTAAAGCACAGTTGCGCATCATACAGCTTAGGTGCCAACCAGATGCACATCCACAAGCAGTGGTCCCAAGGCCCCCGGGGTGATGCTCTTGAAGCTGTAAGTGAAATCCCAAGATGGGGCGGGCCCAAGGAACCATGGCCGACCTTTGTTTGCTGTGCTACTTTGTGGTATGCTTGAAACTTGAATATATGTGCAAGCTGCAAGGCACTCAGAAGGACTGGCTCCCAAGACCCGACAGCCTGCCTGCTGGGCATCCAATGCTTTACCGGAGCCTCCAGAGCCGCTGGGCTTTCAAAACTTTTCTAAAGACATGAACAAAATGAAAGGGGTTCAACTGTAGATGAGGTGAGGTTTAGTATGCTCCAGCTCAGAATTCAAGTCATTCCGTTGACCTTGCGCTTTCCTCTCTGAGATTTCCACGATGGTCGGCAAGGCTCGAAACAGAGCAAAGGACCAGTTCAAAGAAGATGGTTTCAATGCTGAATTGGTGTCCAAGGGCTGTTTGGACTGCAGCTCAGCAGGATTTCGTGTCGAAAGCGCTGAGACTTGTACCGTGCTCCAGCTGTTTAAGGTTTCACTCCAGGCAGTCTTTAGTTAGGCCGTGGTCAACAAAATAAGGAAGGCTCAACTACTGCCCTAAGCCTGGTGTTTGCCGCGTTGGCTTGCTGTAATCCACTTTGTGTTAAGGCTTAGTGGGGCTGAGATGTGGGCCGTCATCCTTGAATGCGCTCCTGCAGCAGGATCTTTCGATGCACCGACGAGAACGACATCCAAGGACGGTGACATTGTTCATAGTAAGAATCCTGCATAGCCTTAATATACAGCAGTACCACAATTCCCCGGATTTAGGGAAAATTTCTAGCGTCAACCATAGCAGTTACTTTACAAGGGTTGGACATCGAGCGCGTGGCTAGAGTCTTGTGACATCTTGTTGCTCAGGCAAACGGACCCCCGGACGTGACAACGTGCTGTAGAAAGGGATGCCTTTAGTGAACAAAAAGGTAGGCAGCAAATTAATCTGAATGGCTGAACCAGAAAGTCAGGCTTTCCTTGAGAGCTTTCTGACCAATATAAGCCAGAGAGGCCAGCGCGGCAAGACACAGTTCCAAACACTCCGCGCCCTGGCAACATTGTGATTCCTGTAAGACCTGCCTTACTACTCAAGGGACAAGATTTAAACGGTCAAGACGTTCGAAGCCTGTGAAGGGCCTATCGCAGAGTGTGTGGGATGCAGAATGGTTATCGAGAATGCGCTTAGATTAACATGTGCTCTTGAGGGTTGCATGGTCCAATCTGGTAGGCCTTTAGGCCTCTCAGCTTGCAAAATCAATTAGCTAACATCCCTACAAAAGCGCTCTGAGGACGCGCAAGTCCTCACCGCCCAACCCTAAGCCATCAACCCTATCCCGAACTTCCTGACTTTGTTTGGCCTCTCAAGGTCAATACTGGCAGAGAGGCCTCCAAGCAGTCAGCTTCTTGGCTAAAGCGGCGCGGCGCTTTCAGGAGCAATTACCATCTGCTGCTGAGGGGGACTGCCAATTCTTCCAATCTGCTTCCATGTAACCCTATATATATATATAACCCCATATAACCAGGACGTTGGTGTCAGACCCTCTCCTGATCTAGGAAGCAATGCCTAGGGCCAGAGAGGTACGTGCACGAGTAGAAGTGTGGCCCTTGCGATTCCAGGCGTGTGATGGGCTGTGGACATACATGATATGGCACAAGGGCACAAGTCCACAAGTGCTTATCGTGAATAACTCTGGGGCCATGACGAAGCTGAAATTGAAGAAAGCGACGGTCAGGTCATGACGAGGACTGCATCCCATGCCATGTCGTCACGAAATCCGTCGAAGCAGTCTGTGGCCTGGTAGCACTTCGGGTATCTGCGGTCAATTGCACTCCGGGGGCAATGCTGCCTTCTGAGATAGCCAAGGCTCCTGCAATGGCCCAGACCCTCTCCCAGACCTTCTCGTCCAGCTCGGGAGCAATTGCGCTGAGCTCCGACTCGAACGCCCTGATTGGTGGAGTCAGCCGCATGGCCGAAAAGATGATGAGCTTGCGCGAACCACTCTTTGCTTCACAAAGCTGCTGAGAGAAAGCTTTCAAAGTCATCCCGAAGTCATGTCAAGGTTGGTGATGCTATTACTATTGGTACCAAAAGAAGCTAAGTGTACTTTGCCACAAGGTCATGCAGGATTCATTGCATTTGTATTCATCTAGTTCAGTTCCCACCACAGCGCAAACCCCGAAGCTACAGTCCAGCACCAAAGGATCCCCAGGGGATAACAGCTCCCCATGCGCCGCACTTCGACAACCATCTCTAGGAATTCAGATTCGCAATTTGAAAGCCTGAGCTGCTTTTTGCTAGTAGCCTTTGGTGATGCCAAGGAATGCGTGACATTTCGTCAACTGGCCAATTACGTGAGCGAAACCCGGCCAGCTGCGTACCATTCCTTTGAGTTTAGGTTTCTCAGTCAGGGGTATTCTGCAGAGCATGGCTACAGCTGTGTTGAGCTGATGTTGGACACGCGCACGTAGGCCTGAACAACTGAGATCTTACTGGCCTTCGTCTGGTTCTGCAATCAAAAAATCACACCGGACCTGACCTTAAAGAACAGCTTGAGCCCCCTGTCCTTCAAAGTTCAAACTGTAGACTCAAGTCCGAAGCTCACAAACCTTTCAACCCAAACACCAAGCTCTAGAAATCCTTGGAGCAGCTCCCACTACCCACAGAGCCGGAAAGGAAGCTCTTCACCTGGCCCGCCCATGGCGATACAGGACTCAGGTTCGCAACACCCACCCCAACGCAAATTCCTGGATTGCTGTTCAGGAACTTAAATTAAGTTACTGTAATAAGGAAACCCCACTCACTTACTACATGCCCATATTATGGTAAGTTAGTTCAAGCTCTTTCAGAGTCACCCAAATTTTGCGCTGTGTTCTTTCCTTACAGTTGCTGCTCAAGAGCTCTTATAGTAGATGGATGTGGTTAAGATAGCTTAAAGCAGGGCGCCCAGAGAGATCCAAAGGATGGTAAGGAATGTCAAGAGGAAACGCGACGTCCCATTTTGTGGCTCCCATGTTGAAGACTTCCGAGGATTGTATATTCGGAGCTTTATCTAGGAACATACCCAGATGGATGTTCCAGAGGATCTTG